GATCGCTCATGTATAATGAGCACTCTTCTACAACGTCTTATTTCCCGTACCACTGTTTATTTACAAATATAGGCAAACAACAAATTTAATTTATTACAAAAAAAAAAAAATAGTAGATCAAAACCAAAACCATGCAATCTATCCTAAGGAAGGAAAAAAGCAGTTTTACGGGATTTGAGCAATCTTTTATAAGTGTTAAATAATTAATGTGTACGCGTTTGTCGATCAAATAACAATTCTTTTTCATAATGTCATTCGCAATACGAAAAAGAAGAAAAAAATGCTGAAATACAAGATACTTATGAGTAAGTGTTTATCATAAGGATGGTGGTGTTGTCGCCACTCGTTGTCACTCTAGTTTTTCTAAAAAAAATGTCAACACAATATGTTTAATACTTGATTAAAAACTGATTTCTTTATATTTAAATATATAAACAATCTTAGATCACAATAAGTTAAGTAGATGTAATTGGGTTGGAAGATGCTGTAAACGCAGGAAAAGGCAATTCGAATTGTAATTTAATAATTGTGGAAGGTAAATCTGCAAAAACGTTTGTTTAGAAGTAATAGATGATCAAATGGAAAATTATGGTGTTTATCCCCTATCCTTGGCAAATTCGTAATGTATCAGAGAGAAGAATCAGAGAATCGGGTGATACAAGACATAAAAATAATACTTGGTTTGGAAGACAACAAAAACTATGTTTCAACCAGTGTTGGGAAAATTGCTGGAACTAGAACACTGGAACAAAATTTCCAGTTCCAATTCCAATTCCAGTTCCGGTGTTCCAGTGACTTTTTTTCTGGAACACAAACAGAACACTGGAAAGGCTGGAAAAACTGGAACCATTGGAAACAGCAATGGATCACTGGAACCAATGGAACCAATAGATTTTATTTTTATTTGTTAATGAAAACTAAATTGATTTCAATTTTATTTATTTTTATAAATTTCTAATATTGTATTTTTTGAAAATTAATAATATGAACTCATATGGGTTTTGATCCAAGTTTAAATGATCCATTTGGCCTCTTTATTATCAGCTGGATGCACACTAGTTTTAATAGAATTTTTAATTTTTCTGGATCATCATCCAAATCACTTTCATCGCTAGTATCATTAAAAGTCTCATTATACAGTGCTTCAAACCAATAACTTTCAATTGCATTGTTTGATGATGACCTGATGAAGAACTTGATTCATTATATATATTATCATTTATTTGGATTTACATGTGAAATATCAATGAATTAGAACTTTCAGATGGAGGAGATGTAATAGATGAATTATCATAATTATTGTCCAATTCTG